TGCGGTGGCAGTCTGTCAGCCATGACGCACACAGTGCGCGGCACGTGGTAGCCCGAGTCGATCAGCAGCACTCCGCGACGTCCGCTGACGCGCACCTGACACGCCATCAGGCAGTGGTCGTTCTCGTTCCTCTCCGGAGGCCGGCATCTAATGACGTACTCTTCCACATCGTCTACCTCCTGAGGGAGGGAAGGGAGGTCAGGTAGTCTGAGACGACGAGTTGTCAGCTGTCCATGGAAAACGGGAATGCAGATATTAGGACAGAGGGTATGAGGTAAGAAGAGGAACAGCGAGAGAGCCGCAAAATGAGCCATGGGTATCGTCACTAAGGAAATCATCGGTTCTACATAGAAACACAAGCTTTATTTAGCTACTGAGAACTTTGGAATATGATGCTGAATTTAAGGACAAAACTATGAACAGGCAAACCGTTAAACACCCGTGAAGTCAGCAAAGTCATTACTTAAATAGCATCGGGCATCAGGATCACCGTAAATATTTGTAAGATCGTAACCTAAACTGCGCAGCATTCCCTCATGGAGGCACGATTAATGGTCATGTAACCAAAGCTAGAGGGTTAAATATACCAATGAACTCGGTTCAACGTCTACGACTGCGACACAGAGCTCACATTGAGTTCAGATTGTTTATCAATACTGCCCTGGCACGGGCTCAGACACGTGTCCCCGGGGCCGGGCAACGCCCGGTCACGTTCCGGGGGTCGTGACACTGCCCGGCCAGCCAACTACGCACATCCTGTTGGACTGCGCCACAGTGGGTCCTTATCTGAGGGTCCTTCTAATCTCACCTCCTCAGCCGAGGCCACGTAGAAATGCGAGGCCACCGTGCCACCGCGCGCCGCCACCCTGGCGAGCATGTCCTTAGTGAGTCCGACGCAGGTCAGATGGTTCGGCTCGGGGCTGACCTCGAACTGCTGGCGCCAGCGCTCGAACGAGCCCGGCGCGCCCGCCTGCTGCCAGCGCTGGTGCGCGCTGTGGAAGCGCAGGAACACGTCCACGCAGTCGTAGTCATGCTGCGCCAGATGGTGGGCCAGCAGGCGGTCCAGCTCGGCGCAGAAGGCCGTCAACGCCGCGCTGCTGCCGAAGGTGATGGCCGGCGGCGGGGGCGACCAGCGCGGCGCCGGCAGCGGCCAGCCCGGCGGCCAGCCGCAGCCGACCGGCTCACAGCAGCTGGACTCGGAGTCACCGTCGCTGCCGACACAGGCCGACCGGGTGAGAGAGACGCCCTATTTTTATTTTAGACAATGACGGAGACACAAGGCAGTACACAATGCTGAGGAGATGTGGGAAACAGACGGGATATTTATCCGCGCTTAAGACGAATTAAATGCGGACGGGAATTTTGAACGGACGAAGTGAATGAAACGCAAGAAACGCAAGTAATTTTTCTAGTTTGCGAGTTGCCAGCTAGAAAATTGGTCACAAATACTCGTGCTTGTTATTGTGTTCAATCTTTTGTCAACAGATTTTAGAAGTCCGAAATCGGAAACACCATTAGTCATCGAGAAACTGCGTCGCTTCTCTCGTTTCCAGTCACAGCAGTCAGCCTGGAAGCTTCCGCGAATGCGATGCAGCACAATAACGACACCAATTACCGCTATTCTGCAGGAACCCATGGTAGTTAGCTCCTACCCGTCTGACTCAGCGGACTTTCCGCCTGCGTCGCAGTCCGGTCAATTCCGGAATCGATTCGCCGCGTTTCGTCCCTCCGACGTGCCCGTTCCCATGGAGGAGGGAGGGGTGGGGAGGAGGGATGTGAGGTCAGTCGGTTCCTCTCACCTCTCGTCATCGTCAGACGACGACGCGGAGAAGTAGTCCGAGTCGGGCCAATGAAGGTCCTCTTCGTCAGAGGCCGACTGTTTGGCCGGGTCCGCGGCGGTGGCCGCCGCCAGCTGGTTCTCCCGCTCCTGGCTGAGTCAACTGGGCCAGGTGCTGGCCCAGCGGCCCAGCAGGCGCGCAGAGGCCAGCGCGTCTGTCTGCTCGCAGCAGCCGCCCTCCGGGCTGGCCCCAGCGCCGCCAACCCCTGTCTCGCTCGCCCATAATGTGTTGTCAGACGGCTTCTGACGCTCTGAAACGCAGGCATGCATGAATGGTCAGACGAAATTATTCAGTTGGACTAGTGTGACATTGATCATATAGTACAGCAGGATTTCCATCAGGTCATATTTATTTTTGTTATATGTTTATCTAATGCAGTGTGTCGGATAAGCTCATCATCAAGCTATTTCGGTAAATGACAGAAATTCGATGCTTTATTCGCGGTCTATTTCGGACAGTTTAGGAATGTTATGAAGCGATTGCATTAGGTACAATGCAACCGGATCCTCTATATCTCGATCGGATCAGATATTTACCTCTGCACATCCACAGCCGGGGATCGAATGAGAGCGCCGGGATGAAGCAAAACAGTTGCTAGTTGCGAGAAACAAGTCCACTTGATGCCAACAAATGTTAAAGGGACACTCCCACCTTAACATTAGTTTTGCTTTGAGATAGCCAAATTGGTGGCCATGGCCTGCAAATACCGGTTTGGGCACTCACAACATCGAAAAATGCTTTAATTCGAAGATATGGAATTCCAAACTTGCAGTTTTCGGATTCTAAGGAGCTAATGCATTGGAATGCCCCCTTAGAATTTGTGACGTCAGCGGAGATCTAACGATTTTTAAATCTTAGACTAAAACCATCGTTAACACGTGGTGGTATACGCTGCTTTGCGCGCAACGTCTGCCGCACTTTAAGGCTGCCAAATTATTGCTTTACAAATAAAGTCGCTAGTAACAGGGGAGATCCCAAAAAGTAAACAAAAGTAAAAGCCTAATATCTTGAAAACCGGTGAATATTTTTCGGTGAAATTTGGTAGATATTCGTTTTCGCTCTTTCTGAACCAAGGGACATCACTTTCATGCCAATTCATTAACTTTTTTCGAAGGTGGGAGGGTCCCTTTAAGCGTTGCCTCGCTTTTGCATTATCCCATTAAAAATGAAAGCTGAATACAATACAATGTTGCATTAGGATCGACGTCTTCTTGAAACGAAGCGCATGAAAGTATAATTTAGATCGCTTGGCAAAAAATATGACGTATCCGTTTACCCATATTTAGATTTTGTCCTTTGTGACCTCGCAAACTTTGCGTCTAAATCGGTGAGAACACATGCAGCTGTCATACCAGCTATCTTAGTTCCTCCTGGCATGAATGCCGAGCTTCAGATTTTAATACGATGATACTCAAGTGCCTACTCAAAGTAGTGTGATATGGGAAAATCCGCGAAGATAAAGTTTACCAGATATTTCAGGCTCGCACCAGACCTGACAATCCTCAGACGTATCCAATTATAGACGTGAGCACGGGCTGTTGCGCCCCGATCTGGGAAGGTCGCGCGTTTGGGGTACCCAGGTCCCATTACCGTGTACCTGCTGACCCTGGTCAGGTGGTATGCGCCGGTCGACTCCAGCGAAAACCGGTCAATACCGGATCGAACTGAACCAGATTTAGCCGGAGCAAACCGACCGGCCACGGAACCTCATCCGTCACCGTGTTTGCGCGTATGTCAGGTTTTCCCCGTATGACAGCTTACGTTACTCGCTGGAGAACCGGTCACACATTGCATCACAGTGGCCAATGATTGCACCACCGAGCGAAATTTGGCAGGAAGCCAGGTCACCGGGCGGTCGACGCCACGGGGGGGGGGGGGGGCGGGGTTCGGAGAAGTGTGACGTGTAGCGACGGACCGGTCCCTGCCAGTTCGGCGGCCCACGCCCGGCCCGGCCCTGGCCTGCGGAGAGGCCTGGGCAGACTTATCTAGGTCAGTTCCGGACAATGTCGTCACTGAGTCCCTGACCGAGCATGCAACAGACGGAATAATATTGCGTTCTAGTGTACGAGGGCTGGTCCAACCTGTTGCATCCAGACGCACAATCGAACTTTGGCAAATTCGCTTCAGATGATGGTGGAGAGTTGGATTTGTGCATTGGCACGTTACTCATGCAGCGTGCCATGAAAATGCAATGAAAGCGCACGTAAAAATGAGTCGCTAAATTGACATTGAGGTCTTACATATGCGTTGTAACGTAAGTGTAAATGTGTAAAAGTAAGTGTTTATGGAGATAGACTTTCCGCGAGTAAAGCTTTACCTACTAATCCATATTGGAATGCCAAATGCTAAAACATTATGTCAATAACCACCATGCAGTAAAGTGGGTCGGAGACGACAGAAGACACAATCGATAAAAACACTCGAACACAGCGCATTGTAAAAGGCACCAACACCGTTCCCTGCACAGCATATGTGAGCAAAGAACAAAGAAACTGAAACCACACAACGAAACGTAGTTTTTTACGTACTGTGTGAACAAATATATCGATATCTTTTTATTCACTAATTGATTCAATAGATTTTCCCACAAATACCCCGAATTCCACACAGCTACGCCAGCCCATAGCAACCAATCCCCAAAGGCGTCGTGCTCCTGTACTCACCCATGCAAGTGACGCGATCCACTGCGACGATGGGTCGTCGGTTGACGTCGCTGGCACCCGTGCGCATGCGTCGCTGCCGTCGGCGGCTGACTGAGCTGATCGGCGCGCGCGGCCCGCCCGCTATATAGGCGAGCAGGCGGGCGGCGCCTCAGCTGGGCGATCCGAGCCACGTCATCCCCCTCCTCCTCCCCCCCCCCCCCCCGGTTGGCGAGCTGCCAGCGATGGCAGCTGGGCGAAGTGCGAACCCACACAAAGACGCCACAGACAGGGCGCATACCTCGAGCGGGGGGGGGGGGTAGTATACTGGGGAGGGGGGAGGTGTCCTCAAAAGTCAAAGGCCATTATTGTTAGAGTCGCAAAAAAGCAACAACCACCGTGGAAACGACAAGCTAATTAGCAACCATAATCAACGATCGATCAATGATCAGATCCATCCATCAATGTAGCTTGTTATGTTTATCAATGCTCACCTACCTTATAGTGAAACATGGGGCAGCCAAACCATTCCAAGCAATGTTTATTGGGACCAAATAGAGATTCTCAAATAAATCACCAGTCATTTATGATAAGCACCATCCGTCGACAACGGACAAACAGCCTCTCCTAGTTACTACTGCTAATACAGACACTGTAAAGGACATAAATCAGCCATCACTCACGAAGCTATATCCAAACCATATACGTTTGCTTTGAAATAACAGAGCAGGCCAGCTCAAATAAACATCCCAGCTCGCTGCCTCTTTCACTCAACTTATTGTGGGTTGAAAATAAATAAAGAATCACGCTATCTTGAGGTATATCAAATAATGGCACCCATTCAGATCACCATATACCACTTAGAAGTATACATGTCGTAAATGTAGTGGTCTGTGGTCTCACAGTTCTCAGCACACTTCGAAGTTCGAGTCTATATCAAAGCAGCGCGTTCTAAAGGATACATTCTCGCCCTCATAACCTCCAAACGTATCAGCTCCGTCTCAGTGCGTGTGAAGCGGCACTCGATAAGAACACGCGCTGGTGAGGTGGGCCGGTATCTCCGGGGTCACCCTGTCCAGCGGCAGCGGCTCTTCAGCAGACAGGCGGTCCCGCACCTGCCGACAGGAACCGGTTACACTGGCAGTTGCATCATACAAACACACGGTGGATCTGGTACAGAGACACCCGCAAAGGGGTCACTGTGCACTACACAGGCCGAGCAAAGATAACTGAAGTGACAGCATGACGGAAAACAATGTTTGCAGAGGGCGGGATGTAACTCATGTTAGAAGCACGCTTCTTAGTCTCGTCGTGTGTGTAATGTATCGGACGTGTTTCAGTAACCACAGCAGTTAATTAAAATGATTACAGAGGTTGCCTGTTTATTAATGTTTATTTTTTGCGCTAATCACCAACAGGAACATGCCCGACTGACAGACGAGGTCAAGAAAACTAAAGCCTGCTAAAAAAGTTTAATATCATCGGATAATCGGTCACGATGTGACGTCTAACGGACGAGACATTTAGCAATACACGGGAAAGCAAAAACATCTGCTGCTCATGACAAAACGATTTAAACGAACAAGCTAGAAAAGGCAGTTTCCTTTAATTTTAGGTGGAAACATAGGCCCACTTTTAACCTTACCTCATCTTAAGACGTATATACAGTTAATTATAGGATAGGACCAATAAATATTGAAATTAAGCTGCAACGCTTACATTTGCTTTTCTCGAGCTTCTCGATCAAGCTCATCTCGATTGTTGGTTGACTGCAGACACTTCTGACGACGAATTTTGATATACTAAGGCCCTCTATGGGTCAAATCTGCTCTAGCCTCCTGAGACCCGGTTCGATTATTCGAACCTCCCTCAGATCCCGGCTCACCTTTTCCACCTTCCTGAAGACCCTGAGGAAGTTGAGGCCAACCAGTGCCTTGACGTCCTGTTCTGACCAGCCCGGTCTGGCCAACAGCCGAGTCACTAGCACCGGATAGGAGGAGGAGTCCGGAAGGCCGAGAGGTACCCTGTCACAGCGAACAGAGGGACCGTTAGTTGGCGGGTCACACTGATAGAAAACAGAGACGTTTTAGAGGAGGACAGGTTCTAGAGGACGTTTTAGAGGACAGTCCTCACTGCCAAGTGAGGACTGTCAAGTGTCCTCACTTGGCAGTGAGGACACTTGACAGTGACTCTTGACCAGTCACCGACAATAGCCTTTTTTACGACGGGCTATCCGGCGAGTGCACCTAATTTGACCAAATGGCAAATCTGCACCTAATCTGCACCAGATGTGCACCAAATGTGTACCAGATGGCCGTCGTGAAAACGACTATTATGTATTGCTTGAGATATGATTATAAAATATTTGGGGTTTCGGCGCACGGATTGCAAAGATCATCAGCAAACATGATCGCTTGAGATTCCTACATTTGCACGTTCGAGCACATGTTTTATGGCGCTCTGCAATTACACACAGTTCTCCTCCTGCCAGCCTTGTTCCACATGGCCACGGTCTGGTTTGCTCTGGTTTGTTCTGGTTTGATGGTTTCAGTGCACCCACCGGTTGATACCGTCGTAGCCGGCCCCGAGACCGACGTGCTGAGGTCCGGCCACCGACCGGATGTGCTCAATGTGGGCTGTAGACAGAAACGGAACGGAAAAAAAACGGGGTTTGGGTGAAATGGAACGGGAAAACGAGGGTCGGGTGTAATGAAACGGGGAGCGAGGGAGTCAGACATAATGGAACGGGAACGCCGGGTCCGGCGGCAAAACGGGAAGCCAGAGTCGGTTGTAAATACAAATCGGGAAATGGAAATTGGGTGGAACCGATGCGCACACGGGGGGGGGGGGCATACACTTTGATATGACAACCGATGTGCAGATATAAACAAAACGGACAGAGGTAGAGGAGACAGGAATGATAAAGAGAATCGGGACGCATACGGAAAAAGGGGGTTAGTCATTGTCATAGCAACAGAGACATTCGATCGACGCCGAGTGAGCATTGCTAACGTCAATGCTGCCGTCATTTAGCGTGCAAAAATAAACCTGGGCGCGGGTCTTAGTGGCCATAGCTTCATAATCAGATTAATATTCATAAATTACTTATAAAACGTGCATGCATTGGTTGTTTCAAACCAAACATCAGTCGATGGAAACTTACCGATCACATCGTCCACGGTGGCAGTGTCGGAGCACGTGAGGAAGCGACTGTAGAAGCTGACCATCACCAGGCCGCCCTGCAACGCCTGCGGGGTGCAGCAGGGCCACACAGCCGTCGGTATATTGGTTTATTTATTCGCAATTCAATATGAAAAGTGAGCACAGCATTTAAGGCCAGGGACCAGGGTCAAGACCTTTTGCAGATCAACTCATATAATGACACATAAAATCGCATATTTATAGGGTGCAAATATTGAAATCCAACCGTTCCTGCTCCACCACTATATCTCAAGTCAACCAACCCTTGTAAACAACTGAGTTGTTACGTTGGTACACAAGGCGCCACCCCATGCCAATAGGTGGGCCTGTGTATCGTCAGACCGGCAGCATTGATCAGTAGCGCACGGGGGCCATCCATTACAATCAGCATCAGTTAGCGGGCCAGTCGGCAGGCCGTCGGCACAGCCACCATGGCGCTGTCGGCGAGCGTGTCAGATTACACCCACGGGAAGCGGCAGGGCAAAGGGAGCGGTCGAAACATGCACAGCGGCCGTTGGGCGAATCGTGACTACGTGACTGGTTGCATGGTTGCATGGCTGCATGCAATACATGACTCTTAGTGAGCTGCCGTCGGTTTTATCATTTACATGACGTCATGGACGTAGCAGTGACGCAAGTTAGCCGGTCTTCGAGCCAGACGTAAGTGCATACTCGCGGTGTCCATGGCTAGTCATAGATGTAATAAACCACGCATAGTGATAGCGACGAATCATATCTGAGCCCACCGCTCATTAGGATCGGATAAATAAGCTCGCCGCTAGATTATTAACTTTGAGTGTAGCATACCGCTGTCAGATGTGGCCTGTCTAAATCAAACGTTAGGCTAATGATCTGCATGACCCCATGCATATCTTGCTATATTGATCGATGACCAGCGCATGCGAAGTCTCACCCCACCACTCCCCTCAATACACATTTCCACGGTCCATCAAATCCCAGCATACCACGACGTGCCAGTACCTACGTGCCAGTCCAGACCACCTCGCCGCATAATATTCATTATCCCACGTCCCAGTTACGTTCCATCAGGTCTCACCAACCCTTACAGCATTTCACGATGTTTCATCCCAGTATGTCCCGACGCATCTCACCAACATCTGCGTTCTAAAACGTCCCACCGGCCACCACATCCCACAAATCCCATCTAAGTTAAATCTCACATACAGCCTCTCCCTGCACCATCCATCCTCTCACCAGTTGTCGTAAGATGACATCGGGCACGTTTCGCGAGATGTTGCAGAGCGACTGGGCGGCCGAATGAGAGAATATCACTGGTGCCCTGCTCACCGCCAGTACGTCCCGCATAGTCTGCAGACTGGTGTGGCTGAGGTCCACCATCATCCCCAGACGGTTCATCTCGCGAACCACCTGCTGTAGAAGAGCAGAAAGGGATGAGAGATGAATTGTCGGTGGAGTGGAGGGTTAGGGGCTAGGGCTAGTTGTTTGTATTGACTAGTGAGGAGTGTTAGGGCGGTGCATGGCTTATGTATATGAAGAGGAGGACTAATATGTGCTGATTTGTGTTTCTTGAGGAGGGGCGGTGACTTGTGGGGATGGTTCATTTGTAGTGACGTGTCGAGAAGATAGTTCAGAGACCGTCAGTGGTCTGTTCCCCCTGCGTTTCGGAGGGGTTTCCGGTGGTAGAGGAGCGAGGAGTGGCGCAGGCGCGCACAACGGCGCATAGAGACGCGGCTCCTAATTAGACTTTGATTGCAGTAATTTATCAGCTGTCGGACTGAGTCGACACTGGGCCCAACGTCTCAGAGTCAGCTGCCGAAGATGCCTCGCAAGTTAGACATTAAATGCGCTGTTGTACGCACATTGAAGCGTTACTGAAATTATATAGGATCTTCCCAGTCATCATGACCGATTTGCCCTTGAGTGACTGCATGTTTCTTCCTGATCATTTGCAACATGATGATCAATTGATCAGGTTGCGGGTGATCAGTGCAACACATCACATCACCAACATTCCAAGATCATTATAACGATTTCTTTAAAAATTGGATATCAATGGGTGAATTCAGGAAGCAAAACACACCAGTCTGTTGCATATAACTATTGGAGTTGGTTGATAGCCCTGATTCTCAGTTCAACATGGCTGCAGCACTTAACCCAAATTATTGCCATTTAACCAAAGCGGACAGCGATGAGTGCTCTTCGGCTCTAAAAGCATGCCGGGAATAGGGACCCACTGCGCGGAAACTGTTACGTCAATAACATTTTAACGATTGTTCTTGCCGGGTATCGTAAAAGGGGCCAGTTACTTTAAATGACTGTATTCGAAATTCGTAAAACTATTAGCCAAGTGTCGATACAAATTCACCTCGTTTTCACATCATCCATCATTCACCCAGACTGTTCTACATTTTTCATAATTTTCCATCATTGTTGGATTTCATGTGAAATCTGCACGGATCCTCCTCATAAGGATAATTGATTGGCACTTTCAGAAATAACACCCTCCCCCCGCCAACGGAGCGGACCAGGCGCACACCAGCTCATGACCCGAGTGCCTCCTCCAGCAGGCAGAGCCGCCGGGCGGGGCGGTGCACTTCTCCTCCACGGACCAGTACGCGCGCCGACCGGACGCGGCCATCAGGCCCAGGAACTGTCTCGGTCACGCGTCCCAGGGGCCACTGGCCGCGCGGGCTGCCGTTCTCCACGATGAGGACGAGATCCCCCACTGCCAGGCTGCGACTTTCCGATCTCCACTTCGGTCGGCATGCCAGTCCTGGTAGATACTCTCGAAGCCATCTCCGCCAGAACTGGTCTGTTAGCGCCTGGCTCTGCCGCCAAACTCGTGTAGAGCAGCTCTCTTCGTCTCGGAACAATCCTGGAGGCAGACGCCTGACCGGACGCCCCAACAGCAGATGATTGGGCGTCAGTGCCTCCAAACTGTTCGGGTCTGTCGACACGTGCGTGAGTGGGCGGCTGTTGACGACTGCTTCCACTTCAGTCAGAACAGTGTGCAGTACTTCCTCGGAGACAAGCAGCCGCCCGAGGACAGCTCTCAGCGCGCGTTTGACAGTCCCCACCATCCGTTCCCAGGCTCCGCCCATATCACAGGCAGCCGGTGGGTTAAAATGCCACCGGATATCGCGTTGAGTGAGCTCATCGCTGATAGTGTGCTGGTTCCATTGTCGCAGCAGCTGGCGTAGCTCTTTCTCTCCAGCCCGCAGACACGATCCGTTGTCACAGAAGACGTCTGATGGCGGTCCACGTCGTGCGATATACCTGCGGAAGGCCATCAGGAAGCTGTCGGTACTCAGGGAGGATGTCAGCTCCAGATGGACCCCGCGCGTGGAGAGGCACGTGACCAGCATACACCACTTCTTCTCGATTCGTCCTCCATGCACCTTGATCTTTAGAGGACCGAAGAAGTCGAGCCCAATTGAACTGAAGGCGTACTTCGTGTCGAAACGTGCGGTCGGCAAGTCGGCCATGCGGGGCTGACACGGCTTAGCTCGGCGTCGTCGGCAAAGAGGGCAGTCAGCCACTACCTTCTTGACTTCTTGCCGGGCGCGCGGCACCCAGTAGGCCTGACGGAGCTCATTTAGGACATGTTCGGTTCCCGCGTGCATCAGTCGTCGATGAACTGCGTCGATGATGAGCCTCGAGATGCAGCTACTTCTCGGGAGGATCACAGGGTGGCGGGTCTCTTCTGGCACAGGAGCATTAGATAGCCGTCCGCCGACTCGTAACAGCCCCTCTGAGTCTAGCATTGGAGTCAGCTGCAGAAGACTGCTTGACGAAGGGAGCTCCTTACCTTCGTTCAGTGCCTCAATCTCTTGGGCGAATGCCTGCCGTTGGGCACATCGCACCGCCATGTTTTCTGCTTCATGTAGCTCCTCGGCAGATAGTGGCTCCCGCTCGAGGGCGTTTGGCTGTGCGACCTGAGACTTCAGCACTCTCAACATGTTCCTCGTGAATCGCAGAATCCAGGCGACAGTTCTTTGGTAGCGGACCCATTTAGAGAACCGTTGTGGGTCAGGCAGGGTAAGGATGGTCTGCCGGGCGCTGTGTTGTGTGACCATCACGGTCTTAAGCTCTGGATCCTCATCTTCCAGTGACAGCTGCTGGTCTGGTGGCCAGGCACCTTCTGACTGCCACAAGAAGTCGGGTCCCCTTATCCATCGGCTGTCTCTCTTCAGGTCGGAGGCTTTCGATCCCCGCGAGCAGTCGTCTGCTGGGTTGAGCTCGGACGGCACATGACGCCACTGTCTGGGCTCAGACACGTCACGGATCTCGGCCACACGATTAGCAACGAACGTGTGGAAGCGCCTGCTGTTGTTCTCGATGTAGCTGAGGACGACCTTGCTGTCGCTCCAAAAGACCGTGTCACTTTCATTCAAGTTCAGCTCCTGAGCTACTTGGGCCGCCAAGCGCACAGCCAGCACCGCCGCTTGCATCTCTAGGCGGACGATCGTCAACCTTTTTAGCGGCGCCACCCTACATCGGCTCATAATCAAGGAGCAGTGGATAGCACCGTCTGCATATTCGTGCCTGAGGTAAGCGACTGCCCCAAAGGCTCGCTCAGAGGCGTCACAGAAGACGTGTAACGTCTTCGTGACTGCTTTCTTGGCGTGTTGCTGATACGCATAGCATCTTGGGACTCGAATCTTCTCTATTGACTGCAAATCTGAGATCCAAGCTGCCACTTCGCTGCACTCCTCGTCAGAGAGAGGGCTGTCCCAGGTGTGTTCAGTCGACCAGAGTGTCTGCAGTATCATCTTCCCCATGACCAGGAAAGGGCTCGCCAGCCCCAGTGGATCAAAAATTCCAGCGATAACCCGTAGGATCTCGCGCCTTGTAGTTGGTGTTGTCGGCCCGACATTCGTGACTGACGGAGCACTGGGACTCAGCTCATCTAGCTCTGCATCCCACTGCACACCCAGGACCTTCTGTGTCGGGAGTGACGCGCTTAGATCTGCGGCACCAACTATTCTGTCTTCCATCGGAATTCTCGCAAGCACCTCCCTGGAGTTGCTGTTCCATTTGCAGAGTCTGAAGCCTCCCCTGGGCCCAATCTTATAAAGGTTGTGCTACCAAATGGCGTACTATCATTCCACCCCACTCTATTTACGGCACCCTATTCACGCAATCTTATAAAGAGAATAGTATGGTAATTCTATTCACGCCATTTTGCCCACAGTACAAATCAACGCCAGCAGGAAACACCCAACGTGATTGGTCAATGTCTTGTCGCCGTCGCTATTGGAAATTATGCGTACTGTTTGCGAACAGCAAAAGTTATGTGTTTTAATTTTTATGGGGCATTTATTTCTTTTAGAGACACACATATGTGTAATGAATAAGTTATTTATGGAAAACGTGATAGCAAACTATGGAAAACACAAACATGCTTGAAGAATTCTCCTGAAAAGTGGATTGCCGACCAAATAAATCTCAGCGAGGGCATTCTCGCGCTCAGAAATTCGAGTGAATAAAGTGTTTCTTCTACTTATCATTTGCATTTATTTGCTGTTAAGGCATTGCAATAAATTTGTTAAAGAATTATTTAAATAGTCATTTAATTATAGCTCGGCTACTGTTTCAGTAATTTAAGTAATGCCGTTGACAATGAAGCTCCTCCAGTTTGAGCATCAGGATACGTACCTACATTAACTGGATCAATTCAAGATATAGCTTATTTTCCTTCTTGTCATAAGCTCTTGACATTTTCCTTCTTGAAGATAAACTACTAAGATTCGAAGACTATGTACATGAACTGAATTAGGTCAAGTTACAGCTTATTTTCCTTCTTATTCAAGCATTAGGTACCTGTTACCTAACCTAAAGCTAAAAAGCAATTTCTCAAAAGATTGAAGAACCCAGTCTACATATCAAAGCATATCAACTGCAGGGCTGCGGAGTCGATGGATTTTCGGCGACTCCGACTCCGACTCCGACTCCGGCCTTCAAATACCAGCTCCGACTCCGACTCCGACTCCGGGCAGAATTGTCGACTCCGACCGACTCCAACTCCCGACTCCGACTCCGCAGAACTAGCAGGGCTGCGGAGTCGACAGATTTTCGGTGACTCCGACTCCGACTCCGGCTCGAGTTTCTAAAATCGACTCCGACTCCGACTCCGACTCCGGTCACAACTGTCGACTCCGACCGACTCCGACCGACTCCGACTCCGACTCCGACTCCGCAGCCCTGATATCAAGAAAAATACTCGGCTCAGAAGTCAGATCGAGATGCAGGAAGAGAAGAAACAACACATTGATCTGTAACTGTGCCAGACAAAAAGTGAGGAGATACGAATAGTGAGTAGGAATTAACAATTTTTTGACAAACTAAGGTATATCATCATTAATTTAAATATCTAATCAGAAGCCATGAAGTGCCCGTTATTTGTGTCATACGTGAGACGTGAGAATAGGCTAAAGACCCATACCGATTCTATAAATCCGAAAATATATGATGGTTACTGGTGCTAAAATCCTCTTAAAAATCCCCTTTTAATTTGAAAAATAAATCCATATAACGATGAACACTCGTTTTTATGTGTTTTAGTGTGCATTTAGTTCCTGAAAATACGTGTTTTGAAATTGATCGTTGTCTGTATAATAAGCATCATTATAATGAACCTGAGTTAATATGTGGAGGATGTTTTAATCTTAAAAATATCATAACGTAAAATATTGCATACTTATATCATAAAAACATTGAATTTATCTTAAATGAATTAAACTGTCTGAGAAGCTCGTCAAAGTACGCCACAAATTCTGGCGTGAAATAGGTGCCGACGATGCCGCAATCAGCTGATTATTGTTTGTGTTTTGATATGTGCACAGCTGCTCACGGCTGTAATCATTCTACGGCACATCCAAAACTGGCGGTTACCAAAACCGTAAAGAGCGTGCCGTGTTTTCGATTTCACAGAGCTTTATAAGATTGCGTACTATATATCCAGCCTTAGAGTGCTGCCATATCCATTTCACGGCGTTTATAAGATTGGGCCCAGGAGAGCAGTGCCATCACCTCTGCCGCCGTCTCTTGTGCTGTATCGTTGTCTGGTTCAGAGGTGGCCAAATCGTCCATATAGAAGTCTCTTTCGACAATTTCCCGTGCTCTGCGTCCAGCTACAGTGTCATCACTTTTCTCCTGGGCTGTTCGGCGTAGTACATAGCTGGCTGATGCTGGAGAGCTCCGAGCGCCGAATATTACCCTGTCCATTTGGTATATATCTGGCGGACGGGTGCTATCCAGATCACGCCAGAGATAGCGGAGTGAGGCCTGGTCCTCAGCTCTCACAGCCACCTGCATGAACATCTTCTCTATGTCGGCGCAGAGACCAACAGACCCTAGACGGAAACGTAGCAGCACCCCTGGGAGTGATCTTAGGAGGTCCGGTCCAGACAGCAGATGCCCATTAAGGGAGCTACCTCCATAGCTGCTCGCTGCGTCGAAGACCACGCGGAATTTGCCTGGCTTGCTGGTGACTGCGTGATGAGGCAAATACCAGGTGCGGTCATGTTGTACCAGCAGTTCCTCATCATCAAGCTTCCGCGCATATCCTTTCTTCACATTTTCCTCCATACTCTGTTGGTACGCTGTCGCCTTCTCAGGAGCTCGGCGCAGAGTCCTCTCTGTGTTTTCCAGCCGGCGCATGGCCATGGGGTAGTTGTCAGGCAGCTTGACGTTTTCATCACACCACAGCAGCCCTGTCTCGTAGCGATCGCCGCGCCACGTGGTAGTCCTTGCCATGATGTCTTCAGCTCGCCGGTCTTCCTGCGATGTCGGCTCTTTCATGTTGTACGCAGTACCAAATGCCTCCGTTGACCACCAGTCCTTCAGCATAGTCACCAGCTCGTCATCAGCTGAGCGGTGCTTGGAAATGTGCATCACTTCTCGCTGGCCATGGGTCACCAGCTGAGCCACATTTCCGGTCAGACACCAGCCAAAGTGGGTTCGTACTGCCACTGGTTGTCCTGGCTTGCCGACTCTGACCTCCTGCTGCAGCATGGCCTCCAGAACATTGGCCCCCAGCAGCAGTTCAACGGCCTTTCCATTGTTGTCTGGAATCACTATGTCATCCAGATGCTTCCAGGCCTTCCTTTGCTTCCAGTCCACGCTTTGAGGACGCACATTGAGTCGGACGACGGAGAACACCTCTGGTACTGTGACCGTCTTGGCGTTACTTCCTGGGGACAAGGAGGACACTTGTAGACTCGTTCTGATCGCGAGTCTGTTGTCTCCGCTTCCTTCAACATTGGCCAGTTGTAGCTCCCTCCTGTCTCCGTCAATCCCCAGTTCCTTTAGCACGTGCTCCTCGCACAGACTCGTATCGGCACCGGAGTCCAACAGTGCGAGGGTATCCTTGCAGCGTCCTTCAGTTCCATGAATCCGGATTGGAACAATTTGTAGCAAGGTGCGCTGACTTGTATGCGTCTCCGTCTGCGTCATTGCCATTACGTCACGGGCGTCTGTTGTCGCCGTCGGTCTTGTTTGTGCGGGATGAGGAGATTGCGCCGACGGTATATGGAGAAGGCGATGGTGTCTCCCCTTGCAGCCCCGCTCTCCACAGACTGTCCTGCTCGAACATTTGCTCAGCCAGTGGCCAGTACTGAGACATCGGAAACAGCGACGGCCACTGCGCACGATGTGACCGCGCTCCTCCGGTGTTTTCTCCAGAAAAGATGGGCATTCGGCGAGTGCGTGGGCGCCCCTTTGGCACACAACACATTCAGCACTGACAGCCGCTCCTGAAGCAGTCGCTAAAGTTGTGCGCTGAGCTGAACTTGTGTTCCCTCTTGTGTCGCCACGGCGCCTGTTCAGCGGTGCCGGTGTATGCGCTGATCTGGCGACACTGTCCTGTACCCTTGAGCAGAGCGCAGGCTGAACGCGGCGGCCCGCCAGCACTACTTTCCCAAGCCAAGAATCAATGTCCTCCAGAGTGGGTACGTGTGGCATCATTTCCACTTCTAACTGGCCCCACTGCCAGGCCAGCGTGCTTGGTAGCTTGGCTATCACCTGCTGCATTGAAGAGGTCGCGGCCAAATCCGCTTGGTAGCCCATGCTCTTTAGTACGCACACGGCCGTGTGCAGGGCTCGCGACAGACTTGTCAGGCCAGCGATATCGTTGTGCTTCACTACCGGGTGCTGAAGAATGCTGCTGAGTGTGCTCTGGACGACAGCAGTCGGGTTTCCAAATTGAGTCTCCAGCTCGCTCAGCGCCACTTCATAGAGTGACATGTCACAGAGCAGACCACGCACGGCTTCACGAGCGTCTCCCGTCAGGAAAGACTGGAGGTGAATCATGCGCTCTGTGTCAGTCAGTGACGCATTATCATGAACCAGGGCTCGAAAGAGCGAGATCCACCGGGGCCACTCTAACGGAGACCCATCAAACATCCCAAGCTGTATCTTGGGCAGCGAGGCATGAACTGGAGCGAAGTTTGTGTTGGCTTCAACCCATCGTCTTGTGCGATGGCTTCGATCGGGCGATCTGTTTGCCGGGTTGTTCTCTTGATCGGGTGGACGAGTCGGGTTACTCCCTCCCGCATTTCCAGACTGCGCTCCGGCAATACTTTGACACGCTGCAGCTGGCGTGTCACCAAGCAGTTGACACTGGACCCGCTGATCAGACTGCTCGTTCTGAGCGCGAGCCATCGGGGTCGGCGGCACAGGGCTCAACTTGTCAACAGCGCGGTCCATGGGCGGCGGCTGGTGGTGCATGGACACCGGTCGCATTCCATCTTCATCTGCGGTGCCGACCGAATTTCGCAATCCAACCTCTTCTTCCATTATTTGAAGCTCCAGCGCGTCTACCTCCGCTTGGTCAGCTGCCTGTCGTGCTTCAGCTAAAGCCTCATCTCTTGCTAGCCTCGCACGAACCTCAGCTGCCTTAATCTTCTCGTCTGCCACTCGCTTCGCCTGTTCGGCTTTGAGCTGTGATACGAGCGCTCGCCTCCTTACCGAACTGCGAGTGGTGGACGTAGAGCTCATTTCAGCCTCACTTCGGGTTTTGAGACTTGCAGATGCAGACCTATCACCGCAAGCCGATCGTACACTCATAGTTACGTTACCTATCAAATCGCAGTCAATCAATTTCTTAACTGGTTACAGTTATTTTACGGTACTCTATCCGGCCCGGAGGACCATAATGTTACGTCAATAACATTTTAACGATTGTTCTTGCCGGGTATCGTAAAAGGGGCCAGTTACTTTAAATGACTGTATTCGAAATTCGTAAAACTATTAGCCAAGTGTCGATACAAATTCACCTCGTTTTCACATCATCCATCATTCACCCAGACTGTTCTACATTTTTCATAATTTTCCATCATTGTTGGATTTCATGTGAAATCTGCACGGATCCTCCTCATAAGGATAATTGATTGGCACTTTCAGAAATAACAGAAACTACCAAACAATGTGGATCGGCTCCTTCAGAACTGAACAAGTGACGTGGATCATATAAATAGGCATGACATTTAAAACTGAATTACAATAAATGTATTAATTCAGCTCATGAGTCCCTTAAATCTCTTTTTTGTTAATTTCCGGTCTTATAAAAAAAAATCAAAAAGCACAGCAAAGTAGAGAGACTGAGGGAGGATAAGAGAGAGAGAGAGAGAGAGAGAGAGAGAGAGAGAGAGAGAGAGAGAGAGAGAGAGAGAGAGAGAGAGAGAGAGAGAGAGAGAGAGAGAGAGAGAGAGAAAGAGAGAGAGAGGAGAGAGAGAGAGAGAGAGAGAGAGAGAGAGAGAGAGAGAGAGAGAGAGAGAGAGAGAGAGAGAGAGAGAGAGAGGAGAGAGAGAGAGGTGAAGGAACAAGAGTGCGCTAAATAAGTATGCACTATGCATATCATTGCTAAGAAATTGATGCATACCATTGCACATTTAACATCATTCGACGCATTGTTACGGAACTCTCACCTTTCCAATGCCTGCAAGTCCCTTCTGGTCCATCGGTGGAACCTCGGAATGCTCTGACCTGCAAAACACCGCAACTATCAATGAGTTCATCAGCGTTAGGGGGGGGGGGGGCAATGTCATATGAAATTCATCTTATGATGACTTTGTTCTGTTACAGTTGAGCTGCAAGTCTGTCCGTCATTCGGATCATCAGTTTTTTGTTGTTGTTGTCAAAATGTCAGTTTGACTTATTTTGGATGGGAAAATATTTGGGTTTAGGAAATTAGGCCTACATCAGTTCGGGACAGCTGAAGAGGTATCTGTGACCCTGTCGTCTGTTTACGCGACTCGGTTCGTCAGTTTGGTCGGGCTAATCCGTTAGTTGGAGGGCTGCGCAATCAGTTTAGGCCTGCATAAGTCAGTACGTCAGTTGAGTAAGTCAATCTTTCAGTTGGGTAGGTCAATCCGTCAGTTGAGTAAGTCAATCATTCAGAACGGGTGAGTCTATCCGTAAGTTGGGTAAGTCGATTCGTCAGTTGGGTAAGTCAATCTTTCAGAATGGGTGGGTCTATCCGTAAGTTGGGTATGTCGATCCGTAAGTTGGGTAAGTCAGTTGGGTGAGTCAGTCAATCAGGTCGGTGATTTGTTCAGTCAGTTTTGAGTAAGTTTACACAGGAAAGGCGCCGTCTGACATGACGGATAGAGATTAAAACACTTCGCCAATCTACACAAAGTGGATCCACATTTCCATCACGTACTGTGGTAGCAGGCGGCAAAAGAGAACGCTTCGAACCTGTCAAAACTTGAAGAATGGTGACCATTTGTCAAAGGTCCTCGTTTCAGACATCTTGGAAAATAAGAGTTACAGTTCTGCTGTTTTATTGCCGAACAACTGGACTTTCTTCATCATCATGACATTTGACTGTGAAAGTAATAAAATGATTCGTTACTATCGACAACAGGCATATGAAAATAGCAAGGATACAATAAAAAAATGTTTCGCCAAGCAAAGGAAAATCAATGGTCTGATGTCGCCGCGCGGGTTCAGATGACATGCACCGGACGCCCAATGAACTGACTACTGACCACGGGGTACTGCAGGTGTGTGTGAGGGTCAGGTAGCGGGCACCCAGAGAGTAGAGACTCCGAAGCACCGGCAGGCTGTCTCCGATAGCGTGGCCTCCCTCCACACCCAGAAGGCTGGCCATCCTACCTCGGGCGTGGATCGCCACCACCTCTGGAGAGAGAGAGAGAGAGAGAGAGAGAGAGAGAGAGAGAGAGAGAGAGAGAGAGAGAGAGAGAGAGAGAGAGAGAGAGAGAGAGAGAGAGAGAGAGAGAGAGAGAGAGAGTCGGTTAAAATTCAGACCTACGAATATTGGAGACAGAATCGGCCAGACTTACTCCGAATTTCACGGCAGACATCGAGAGGCTTGAAAGTTAACCCTCGCCCGTAAACGGTGTTTTGCCACCTTCGCCCATGCAGGGGGGGGGGGGGGGGGTTGGTGCGACCCCCCCTGGCGTTTGAAAATGGAGCGTCGTAGAGCTTAGCGGAAAAGACCAACGGATTGCTCTCAACGAGATCTCGCGATTGGTGGTATATTTTTTGGTCCTAGGTCAACATTTGACCTACTTATGACCGGTCAAAGGTCAAATTTTCGGAAAAATCTAAGTTTTTCAGATTTCCGCGCCGATTGCGGCAAAACGGTAAGAGATATCGACTTGAAACCTTCACTATCGTGATCCTTGATCAATTATCTATCGTTTGGTGTATATTTCGATGTCATAACTCTAAAAATGATGCGTTGGGAGCATCGGAAGTCTGCAAGGTCATTTGTGCATTGGGTCACGTCAGGCGTGTGACGTCACTGACCTGGCCCTGACCCAAAATGGACTACAAGAAACAACCGACCATGCCTGAAATGGATAGCAAATTCGAATTCAGGGCATCAAAATACCCCGAAAAGGCATACAAGTGCAAGAAGTCATTACAGGTCAACCGAGGTCACTGACCTGACCTTGACCTTTAGTAACCTTGAAAAGGTCAACGGACATTGTGCCAATGTCAAATCAGCCAGTTATGATTCTAAAACAATCCATCAGTGTGTCAGGTCAGTCGGCATTTATACCAATGTGAAGCAATCTCCAATTTAGCGTAAATCTGGCCGGAGGTTGTTCCCTTTATGACGTCATAACTCCGTGACCTGACATGACCTTGACAATTTTTTTTACCAAAAGTTGCGCAAAGGATGCCCCAAAGGGTACTGAAAATTTGAGCAGGCTATCTGAAACGGTTCGGCGTGTAGCTAAGAAAAACCTCAGGGGGGGGGGGTTGCACCACCCCCCCCCCCCTACATGGGCGAGGGTTAATTGGGGCTAAGAGTATTTGAGCCCATGTAACCAAAGGGTAGTTAAATAAAATTTCATATGTGTGTAATATTTCCGCACATAATATTTAAAGAAAGTACTTGAGCTAGCGTAACAGTTGAAGGCTATCCTGGCAGCAACCACTAAAACACTGGCCTAATAAGTAATAACCCCCCCCCCCCCGTGTCTGTCGGTTCCGTCCCGTCCTCACCGTCGGCAGTGGTGGCCATCTCGGTATGATCGGGGTACCGTCCCACCATCCGTAGTATGGTGTCCAGCTGCTCCAGCGCAATCGGCACAGCGTCCAAGTGCTGGGCACCGCACGGCACGTACACGCTCCAGAACTGTGGGAATAAACGGCACGTAGGCGGTTCTCAACACTGTGGGAAATGGCGGCCACATGCTACCTAGACGTTTCACAATTGTGGGAATAAGCGACACATACGATCCAGCATTATGGGAACGTATGACACAACTCGACGCTCCAGAACGGCAAAAATAGACGCCTTATATGCGCTAGTGCTGGGTTCAACAATCAGCATATCACAGCTTAGAAATGTTAAACGAGACGGCATGATCCGCTCTAGAATTGGGCGATGTGTGATCGGTATATACGATCGATAACTGACACATGGACACGGATAACAATGGGACGTTATGTAAGCTATGTAATTGCGACACATCGACAATACAGGATACGAGACTGGCCTCATCATTGCGCACCATCATCTGCCCTCGACCGTCCCGGACGATCCAAAACTGATCCCCATCTCAAACACCCCAGCGCACACCAGCCCCGTTCTGCGTCTGTGGCTGATTGGACGCCAAACCCCGGGGCTATGGCGGCTCCTCCGAAAGCGCCAAGTCAATTGTTCGATGACGGCCCAATATGAGGGCTCGTTCCCAGAGGCAGCGCGCGGCCGTGGCTTGAAGTCCCTCAATTGGAGCGGTGTTTGTCTTTGGACAGCCCTGTGCGAGGCTGATACACCACGGAGGTCGTTCAGAGCTGCTTGTGGGTAGGAGAAATGATAACAAAACTTTGCGGTTATAGGTACGCGTGGTCCTGGCCTTCGCAATCGGCCTTCGGTATAAAGGCCTAAGGCCTTACCGGAATTATGGCCGTGACGACGGTGAAGCTGGTACAGTATGTCTAAAAAGTATGTCCCCTGGTTTGGCTCTCCCACAGGAGGCGAATCGGTAACTTGGCTGAATCCCAGTTGCGGCACCCGGCCGCCAGGGTCGCTGCCGCGCAAGCGGCCTTGACCGCTCGCATGTCATTGGCAGTTCGGTCCCTCCCCATCTATACAGAGGTGGGGAGGGGAGAAGAGGGGAAGAGAGGGGAGGGAGCGGCATCCGCTCGGCACTGGGCGATACCTGGCTGACCCCGCGCTCCCTCGCTGACCTCCGTCCTGCCCTCAGGCGAAGACCGACTTCCTCGGCCCGTAGCGGCCGAGCGGAAAACCGAGCTCGCAGGGCGCGACTCCATTGGCCCAATCTTATAAATGGAATGCTGTCGTATTCACGGCATTAGATAATATTAATAGTGATACCAGCAGTGGATGTCGTAAAATACAGCCCAAAACAAACGAAAGCACACGATTGACGCATAATGCGCCCTCCCATTCAAATAAGCCCGCCCACTTCAATAGATGGTGTAGTTTCTTAGGGCGTAAAAGAAGCAAAACACTACCAAACTTTTTTAGCTCGGCCACTGGGACCGTCAATATGCAATTGACTGAAATGCATGAAAACCATTTTGCATTTAATAGCCGTTTCCTGCACCCAAACTTTAGCCAGTGACACCCTGTCCATTCTAAAGCGTTTATAAGATTGGTCCCAGCACCCGATTTTATATGAGGAAGTCGTTTAAAAAGCATCTTATCTCTAACCAATTTATTTATTATGGCCACTTTTACAGGACGTCTATAGAGCTTTGACTTTTACATTTCTTCCTCGTTCAGGAGTAACGTTTTAACCCTCACCGGACCTTCAGGTTTTCTGAATACCGAGGGGGCGTTGGGGGGTTAGAAGTGAGGGAACAACCCGAACAACCCCCTTTGCCGATTCGCCCCTTAATGAGCTAGAGCCTCACGAAAGAAACGATCGTGCGCGTCGTTACGAAATGCAGCGATTGGTCTCCGATTTTAACCCTATTCCTGGCGGGGGGGGGGGCCTCAGGAGCCCCCCTGAGGTTTTTTGGTTATTTCTCCCAAACGCGTTGAGCTAGGAAGCTCAAATTTTCTGACTTTTCCTAAAAGGCTTCTACGCAACATGTCTGAAAATTTTGAGTTGATCTGACCTCAGGTCAGGTCACCAGAGGTGGTTTGGTGACCCTACCTCAGAAAAGTTTGCAATCACGCCAGAGCTAGAGTTTTTGACCGATCAATTTCTTCTCTTCAGGCTTTAGTTAGGGTACCAGTATGTTCAATTTGTATATCTCGGAATTTTGATATCGGTGACCTAAGGTCAGGTCAGTTTCGCGACCTCCCCATTATAAGTCAATGGGGGAAAAATCAACTCCCTGTTTTTACCACTAAAACGGGTCGGAATGGCCCCATATACCATACATGACTTCATATACGATCAACCTTCACTACCTTGAGGTCTGTTTTGCTGTTGGGCAGCTGTGAGGTCATGTGACGTCATCAAAGGTCACCCCAAAGGTTTTTGGCCAATAACTCCGTACAGGAACAAGATACAGACGCGTGGATGGTCTCATTGTGTTCAGCTCGTCAAGACGCATCGAATGATATACAAGATGACCTCGAGGTCACGTGACCTGAGGTCAACCTTTGACCTTGACCTTTCGAGGTCAACATATATATCATTCGATGCGGATTGACGAGAGGATCACGATGATGCCCTTAGTTTGTTCCTATCTTGACTAATTCGAAAGTTATTCGAGAAAAACTCTCTCCATATCTAGCGCCGCCATTTTGACTTTTTCGACCCCTGTGACGTCATCTTTGACCTGACCTGAAAATGACCTTTGTAAAAATTGTAGACCTTGTCCATGCGTATCCGATGCCGTTTACCGCTTGTCGCTATCTTGCTTCGTTCTCGAGATCTCAGGGGGGGGCCGAATCGGCCCCCCCGCCAGTTTCTTGTCCCGGCGGAGCCCGCCAGGAATAGGGTTAAGGACTAGGATCAGCCGATGACTTCTGAGGTTAGGTCAAGTGGCCCAAGGCACAGGTTCGGTTTTTGGTAAATAACTTCGCTAAACATGATCGCAGATCCGCGATTTTAGCAGCATCGTGTTTGTCTAGCTCAGGCGTGTCGAATGGTATACTTTTTCTTCGGGTGAGATCAAGTTAAGGTGTTAACCTCGGGTCAAGGTCAGGTCAAAGCCCGTCAGGTCACGAAGCTGGTCAAAGCATAGAGATCTTATACACAATTTAACCCTCGCCCATGTAGGGGGGGGGGTGCAACCCCCCCCTGAGGTTTTTCTTAGCTACACGCCGAACCGTTTCAGGTAGCCTGCTCAAATTTTCAGTACTCTATGGGGCATCCTTTGCGCAACTTTTGGTATTTTTTGTCAAGGTCATGTCAGGTCACGGAGTTATGGCGTCATAAAGGGAACAACCTCCGACCAGATTTACGCTAAATTGGAGATTGCTTCACATTGGTATAAATGCCGACTGACCTGACACACTGATGGATTGTTTTAGAATCATAACTGGCTGATTTGACATTGGCACAATGTCCGTTGACCTTTTGAAGGTCACTAAAGGTCAAGGTAAGGTCAGTGACCTCGGTTGACCTGTAATGACTTCTTGCACTTGTATGCCTTTTCGGGGTATTTTGATGCCCTGAATTCGAATTTGCTATCCATTTCAGGCATCGCCGGTTGTTTCTTGTAGT